GACCTGGGTGGGCTGCTGCTGCTACACTCTTCGACGGGGAACCGGGAGGGCATGCTGGCCCTGGCCGAGGAAGCCCGCAAGGCCGGCCGCACGAACGTGGCCTTCCTGTCCCTCTTCGTCTGCGGGAAGGTGCGCGCGAAAACACAAAGCCATTGTATGCAACACGACGTAGCACGAACACAGGAGAAGCCATGCATGCGCGCTGGTCCTGTCCCTCTTGGAGGGTGAAACGTTGCCCGACATACACGACACAGCAGTAGCAGTCGCCTTCCTGCCCCTCTTGATGTGCGGGAAGGCGCGCGAAAATATGTGTTAACACAGCCCAAGATGGCACAGCACAAGGCAACGGTGTAGTTGACTTCGGTTCCTAACCGTCTGCGGAAGGGTGTGTCGAAATCGTCTGCGGAGAGGTGCGCGGAAAAACATGCTGCAACACAACACAATGTATGGCTCCCTCCTCCCTGTGTGCGGCAAGGCGCGCGAAAGCGTACGACACAACAGGGCAGTATGATAGCATCATTCTCTCGATCGGTTTGCTCTTCGCATGTGGAAGGGTGCGCGAGACACGCGAGACGACACGCAATGCAGTAGTGGTAGCAGTAGTCGCCTTCCTTTCCCTCTGTGCCTGCGGGAAGGTGTGCGAAAGTTTGGTAACACAACACAGCACAGCACAGCGCAGCGCAGCGCAGCGCAGCGCAGCGGCAGTATCATACGACCCAGGCGAGAACAAGACAGCAACAGCAACGATAACGACGCGAACAACCCCACGGTTTCTTTGGGCGGGGCAGGTGGAGGAGTGCCTAGAGCTGCTGGTCAGCGCCGGACGTGTCCCCGAGGCGGCTTTCATGGCGAGAACCTACCTGCCGTCCGCGATGGGCAGGCTGGTGGAGCTCTGGAAGAAGGACCTGGCTACCGTGTCGGCGAAGGTGTGTTGGACAGCTGTTGTTGTTGGAGGTGGTGGCGGAGCTTGTGCCTGCTGCTGCCATTTTGTTGGTGTTGGTGTTGGTGTTAGTGTTATTGTGTTGGTGTTAGTGTTGGTGTTGGTGTTAGTGATAGTGTGTTGGTGTTTGTGTTAGTGTGTTGGTGTTTGCGCTGGTGTTGGTGTTGGTGTTGGTGTTGGTGTTGGTGTTGGTGTTAGTGTGTTTGTGTTTGTGTTGGTGTTGGTGTTTGTGTTGGTGTTGGTGTTGGTGTTGGTGTTAGTGTCAGTGTTGGTGTTAGTGTTAGTGATAGTGTGTTGGTGTTAGTGTGTTAGTGTGTTAGTGTGTTAGTGTTAGTGTTAGTGTTAGTGTTAGTGTTAGTGTGAGTGTTAGTGTTGCTGCTGTTGTCAGGTGTTGCTGTTGGTTGTAATAGTGTTCTGTTGTTTGTGGTGGCGGTGCTAAACGCTGCTTAGATGGTGGTGGTGGTGGTGGTGGTGGTGGTAGTTTTGCTCTTTGTTGCTGTTGTTGGTGGAAGTGGTGTGATTGTTGTTGCTGCTGTTGCGGTTGCTGGTGCCGCTGCTGCTGTTTCTTTATTTTGGTGTTGGCCGCCGTGGTGTCGTCGCCCATGCCCGCTTCGTGGTTTGTGAGTTCGGTGCTACTGCAGCGTTTTGGTTCCGTTTTCGAAGCACATGAATGCATGTGCACGTGGCCAATTCCTTCTCTCGTCTGCTCCCTGACCTTTCTCTGCCGCCTTTTTCGGTTCGTTTGCTTGGGCCCTCCCCCCCTCCCCCCCCTTCTCACCCTCTCTGCCTGTCTGTCTGCCCTACCTGCAGGCCTCCCAAGCTCTAGCAAACCCGGTGGAGTACCCCAACATGTTTGACGACCTCGACTGGGCCCTTAAGGTAAGTTGCTGGGAAGACCACTCTCATATTGAAATCAGTGACAGCACTCAGAACAGCCACCGTAGCAGCGTCTTGAGTCCTACAATTTGACTACTCGTCTGCTGCAACTTAGGCTGTTAAAATGTTTCTTGAGAGACCGGTCGGTTGCTTCGTGCGCCCCTTCCCTCTGGGTCGCCGATGGCATCACAAACTGGGCTACTAGGAAACATTTGTATCGTGTGTGTGACTCCGGCGCTGGAGACAAGACATGGGGTACTCTTATGTTTTGCACGCCTTAGCGGTTAGACCGTTGACCACGCGTCCTCCTCGAGGGGACGGAGCATTGTTGTTCCCACAAGACCGATCACCGATGGCCAGTTGCTACCTACCTGTTCGTGTTCGGAGCGTAGAAAGGGGTCCTTTTTCGTCGAACACGAAAGACGCCTTCGCGGTGGCCGTCGCGTGAAGTATGGGGATTCCGTTCATGTTTTCCGTTTGATGTCAGCGTTTCATTCCGTCGCATTCCTTTCCATTTCATTCCGTTCCGTTCCATCTTGGTTCCTGTTTGGGGTTGTTCCCTGCCATACACCCTTCCATTCCGTTTTTCTTCATTTTTCGTCCTTTTTCTCTCGGACGATATGTCACTTATACACTTTCACGCGTAAAGGTGGAGGACATTTTCCGCGCCGGCAGCGACGTGGTCATCCCGGCGGCGCAGTGGCCCACCGCTAAGGACGACCTCGAGATGGACCTGGTGCAGATGCTTAAGGACCAGGCCGCCAATGTGAGAAAAGGAAACACGTGTGCACACGAGGCCGGTCGCCCCGTACCGTATTGTACAAAGACCGCGTGATGTGCATGGAGTCCCGTCTATTACACAAGATAACATGAACGAAATGGTAACTTTTCAGAAAAGCTCTGGACGAGACGGTTCCAACGCCGCTATGACTCTTCCTGCTGTTGAGAAATCGAGCTTTAAAAATCCGTTAAGGGGGTGTGTTATCTTGTGTCATATACGGCAATCCCGTGCCCGGTGTTCAAGGACCAATGATTTCGTACTGCGTCTTGCTATTCTTTGTCGCTAGGGTATGCGGGTGTTGACATGCAGCCATGCTTCAGGTCGATCGAGCGACTTGTAGTGTGCATTAGTGTACAGCAGCCTTCTTTTTTTTCCCACCCTTGACATCAAGCTTCGACGAGGTGACCTTGGACGTAATTTTGTGTTTTTTGAAGTAAACGTCCGAGCAAAGATAGACTGCCCTTTCGAGATACAACCACAGTCGAACGGGATGTGCTGAAAAAGTCTTGACGGTGGGAGGGAATCTAAAATGGCATCATCAGCAGCAAACAATAAGCGGGACTTAGTTGTTTGGCATCTTCCACGTCTGTTTCTTGTTTTTTTCTTGTTTTTTTCTTGTTTTTTTTGGCACACGTTGTTGAACCAGACCATGCAATCTGCCGTACCCTGACGACTGCCGTGCCCCCCCCCCCCCCCCCCCCCCCCCCCCCCCCCCCCCCCCCCCCCCCCCCCCCCCCCCCCCCC